ACACGCGTGAGCAGCGACTCGTGATATTGATACCTGCCAACGGCTTTTTCTGTTACTAGGGAGGCGTACGGTATTTGAGAGGGTGGGTCAGCCGGTAACTAAAGTCGTCAACCCTCACACCGGCACCGTGATTACCGTGTCGGCCGACGAGGATGAGGACGCTATTAGCTCTATACAGGAGTACGACTCCGCCGCGGAGGAGATCCACGCACCTAGAAGCGTGTGCGCGGAGGAGGGTCCGGCCTCGCTCGGCGCGGCGGACCTCCCGGATGAGCCGGAAAGTCGGGCGCTGAATCGCGAGCTCACCGAGATCTGTGCGGAGATGCGCTCGGCAAGCGAGCCGGCGATCGACAGTGTGCCTGACGAGAACATACGCGAGCTGCAGGAACGTCGCGCCCTGTGCGCGGAGATGGCGGCCACGACGACCATGACGACGTCGATCGACTACGAGAGGGAGGAGGCGTTTCGCGACGTGCCGACGAGTCTGAGCCTGTGCGCCGAACCAGGTGAGATCCCGAGCAGTCCGATGACGCAGGCGAAAGAGACCGCGTTATGGTGCAGCAAGGGGAGATCCGCCGACAAGCGGCTCGAGGATTATCGCAACGAGGCTCACGAGCGGCACCTCGCCAAGGCGAAATATGTTGTCAGCTACGACGATGACAGCGTCACGTTAATGGAGAACAAGACGATGCGAAGCGAGAGGAACATCGAGATGCCGAGTGTAGACGAGAGAATCAAAAAACCCATCGCGAGAAGAGCTATCGAGAAGAGCATCGATTCTGAAAAATCTCAGAAACGTTCGGTCGAACAGCGGACGACGCGCGCGGAGAAATACATCATCAAAGAGGACGAGGATAGCGTCGTTATCGAGGATGCGCGATGCGTGGACTCGATGATGACTGTTGGCGCGAGAAAAGAGAGAAGCGACGTCGATAAGAAAAGAGAAATCGAGAGCGCAAAAGACACCAAGATAGCGAGAGACAAACACGAGATGCCACGTAAAAACAACGAATCGAAGAACCGTTTTTCTCCACGAGAATCCAACGGCAAGGATCGAGTTACGTCCGAGGAAAAGGGAATTAAACGCACGAGAGAGATATCTGTCGATTTACCCGAACCGACGGAATCGGTTATCGATGCAAAAGGAAACTCCATTAAATTTACTTCGGATATGGAAAAAGCGAGACTACTGTCCGAGAGAACTAAAGAGAGCAACCACGACGACGATGATGACGACGAATTGCCGCCGTTGGATCCGCCGCCTCTGGACGATTTCAGTTCTATCGAATATCACATGGTGGAGCCGTGCAATTTCGGCAGAGATGCCGCGTCAACGTCCACCCAGTCCGACGATGATATCGAGCATATTCACGCGTCTGAGGTGATGCAGATGCGAATGAAGATCGATACGGGCAGCGGTAGATGCAAGGATGCAAGTGCAACTGTCAGCACGATCGCGCAATTGTCTTCTCCGACAACGCGCCGGAAGAGCAGCAAGAGCACGATCTCGGACGACGATCTGGAGTACATACACAGTGTCGATCTTGGCTTTGAATCCGCGAACTTGGAGCGGAATGACGCTAATGCGATGAAATCCTTAACGAGGGGAAGCAACGACGGTTGCCCGCGCAGAAGGCACAGCAGGCATACGTTGTCTTCCGACGATGATTTGGAGCATGTTCAACTGTCGGAAGTCCGTGAGCTGGAACTTGACGCGGCGGTGAGATTGTCGCAAAGAGAATCTCTACAGGAAGCAACGTCGGCAGAGCAGCAAGGAACAAAGTCTAGATCGGGTAAGAGACGGAAGGATATCATGGTGATCGAGAAGAACGATGCGGAAGCCGCGGAGGCTGCGGAGGTCACTGTGATATACAACCCGCTGGAAGACATGTGGTCAAAGTTGGAGGAGACCGAAAAGTGCGATTTCGCCGATCATTTCAAGGAAAAACCGGATGGACCGTACCCGAGCCCCACGAAAAGGTCTAAGAATCGCGGTACGAAAGCAACGAGTTTCTCGTCGTCCTCGTTGCTACCTGCCAAGCGAGTTTCTCAGAGCACCGATACCGACATAGTCGAGATTATCGATATCGATGCGATGCAGAAGGCAGATATGGATGCCGATGCAACGCCGGAGTGCAAGATTCTACCTGTCGTTACCGGGCCGCGTAGCCGAAAGTCTCGCAAGAGCAAGCGGTCACAGTTGGACGGTCAGTCCCAGGAAAACAATTCGACGGAGCTTCCTGTTTCTGCGCCTCTACCTTCGTTCCGTTCTTCCAAGGTGAAAATGGCGGAGTTGCAGGAGGCCGTGCAGGAAGCCGTGCAGGAGGAGTCGTTTATAGAACTCGGTTCCAGGAGTCAGGAATCGAAGGCTCAGACACCGCCTTTGACAGAGATATCTTGGAGCTCTATCGTCAAGAAGAGCATCTCCCCTTCCTCGGACTCGCAAGAAGTCCGCAAGGAAACCGATCTCGAGCCATTGATCGAAGTGGAGGAGAGATCGGAGAGCGGCGAGCATGTGAGAAAATTCGACGAAGCGGAACTTCATGCTAGGGACGATCTTACGTTCTATGAATCTGCGGGAAGTCCGACGCGCGAACGCGAGAGTACACGACGACGTGCCTGCAGGTCTAAGCAGGAAGAGGATGATGACGAAGAACTCTTCGGTGAGAGGGATAACATCGATGTGACGAAGACGGCGGCGACGACGATGGTGAAGGAGAATATCCTCGTAGACATTCACGCACCGATCATAGACGAAGAGCCTCGCACGGACACGGATGTCACGTGCGTCGCAACTGCTCTGACGCGAGCTAAGATCTCTCGGGACAAGGGGGATAACAAAGCGACGGAGGAGCGCAGTCCTCTCCTCGCCTCGGAAGTACCACGATCCGTCGTCGACGAGACACGTCGAGGTAACGTGGCAGCCGAAAGGAGAGAATCGCAAAGAGAATCTTCTTTGCAGCTTCAGCCAACGCGGCGGCAGGCGAAGGACGAGGTAGGCGGCGACGATGGTATCACCGGAGTGCCCAAGCGGAACGATCCAGTTTCCCCGAAGGTGTCCCCGGAATCCGATCACGGGCCCGCCGAGAAGCGGAACGAAGCGGAGCGCGAGATGCCCAGCGAGCACTCGAGCGCCACCAAGAAAGCGAGCAACAGATCTAAAAGAAAAAAGCGCAGATGAGTAGAGGATTGCTGCATGGACGTACCTAGGGCCAGCCTTGCTCTGTACATACTCCTGATGCAAGTAGCAGGGGTAGATTAGCGTTCGTACGTAAGGAAGTGAGATCACGTCGTAGCTCGAGCGTTTCTCGACTTCGAAGAACTACTTTTGCCCCTTTCGGGCAAAGCGTCGATCGGCGTGCGTCTCGCTATAATGACGATAGGCTCATCTCTCCTCTGTGTCCTCCGAATTTACTTTTGAGGAGTAATTCGTAATTATAGATTTTCAGAGACTCGTTTGTGAAAAATTAATATTCAAAATAATCACAACCAGATAGAAAATATGTAAGAGAGATCGTTATGTACATGCGAAATTATTGTCATCTATCTCAAAATCGCGTGTTATTTGGCCCTATCTTCGTTTCGAGTGTCTTGTCAATGTCTGGTATAATTAACGTCGGTCGCAAAATCACGGTACGAACCATATATTATGTTCAGGGCAATATAGCGGGCAAGGTTGCGTTCTAGCGGATGTCATGACCCTAATTAGTCGCTTCGACGTTAGCTCTAATGGGGTGTAGAACTAACGAGGGAGCTCCTAGGATAGGATCGCGTTTCGCCATCCGATAATACCCGTGTAGCAATTTCAATTCGACTGCCTTAGAACGTAATGCGTTTGAATTCTATATGGTGCAAACAAATTGCGTGTATCTATATATCGTTTGCCCATTATCATAATGTAAATGTAATTGTTTGGTGCAATTAACGAAGTGACGAACGCTCTCGGCCATTAGGTGTTCATTTGCGGGATTGATCTTCTAGCTAGTTCTATTCTCGAGTGACGACCACATTGTTCAATATGCAATAGGCTATACATTTCTTCGTTATAGTACAAAGTATCTTCATTGAATTCATTCATCTTTTGTTTACTGCCGCGAATTATGGTTCTCGTCGAACGATGGCAGTGGAATACGGAGAGGAATCATTATGAAATTAAAAAGATTTTTCAATCATAGTAATTTGTACAGTCGGCTACAATCAGGAGCAAATCACTGATTGCTTATTTAGCTGTACACATTCTCGTGCATCTTTGTATAATGTCTACTCGATTTCGAAGAGATTTTCAGAGGACTCTCTATATCATCGATCATTTACATACGGTATGCAGACAAGTATTTCCCGACAAATTGTTGACGAAACAATTATTAATAATAATGGTAATAGCGTAGTAGTAGTGATAGTAGTAATAATAGTAGTGAAAAAGGATGATAAAAAATCCGCGTTTGCACTATAAATCTTTAATATAATGTGTTCTATATGATTCCTCAGACGCGTTCATCTTTGCGCAAACCACGCCTGTTCAAATGTTTACCGTTTAAGTATTGCTTTACCATCACAAATTTAGACGTAGCTCATATTGGAAAGATTACTATTCCGATTGAGTGTAAACTGTGTCTCCAGAATTAAGAAATTTAGGCAATGCAAGAATAACGATGTTGATAATGTGAAATAGTCAGTGCTTTTCTTCTAAATATGAATCTTCTCACAGTGCTTTTTTTCAAATATGAATCTTCTTGAATCGAAACACTTTCGTTTATTATTATATTGTGACTATCTTCAATCTAAATTTTAACTGAATTCTGTCTCCTCCCATCAAAGTTTTATTTTTTCTAAATATTCTATTTTTTCCTAAAGAAATCCTATCTACAGAAGGAAATCTGAATTTTTTTGTTATTTTAATTAGTTGATATTATAAGATTATTATGTTCCTTTGTTAATTTTTATAACCGATTTTTATAATCAATTTTTGAGCAAAATTATTAATTTATATAATGTAACGTTGTATTAATAATGGATACATAAGGAATCATGTAAAGTAATTTGAGGCAATCGATGAAGCTGATTGAAGTTCACTTACTCGATGCAAATTACGCACCTTTAGAATTCACATCATTAACGTTAATGTGATTTGTCAGTATATTAATGTCCGCATACAGTATAATCTTTCATGTTGAAAGATTAATATTTCGTAACGATATTTATTATTGACAAATTATAACATATTTTGCCATTGCTTAAAATCTTATTCTACAGTCTTATTTTTGTGAGGTATAAAACCTGTAATTTACTTTCAAACTTAAATGAGATTCTTTGCAAATTCCAATTAAAGAGAGATTATATTCTTAATTATTTTAACATTTTCTTTTTCGAGTCTTATTTATTTTATTATTACTATGAATATTTACTCATATAAATCGAACAAATTTTTACAAATTTTTACAAGTTATTTAAAGGGAAGAACGCAATTTCTTTTAGTTTGAAAACTAGATTGTTTTTTTTACATTTTAAATTATATAGAATGATTTCTGAACATATTTCAGCGTCTAAGAAAATTAATTTAATATATATCTTTGCAGAGTCCTCAAATCAGAATAGATAATGCATTTTCAACTGGGCAAATTTCAAACAAAAATTTCTTATTTATACAATTATTAAATTAAATTTCAATTTAAATCTTATCTTTGATTTGAATATGTGGATCTAACAAGTAATAATATATAACAAGAAAAAAAATATAAAATAATATAATATATCTTCCTTGATTGTGCAATGCATTCTCCTCATTAAATTATTTATAATTATTTAAGTCTTAAATAAAATATGAAGTATTCTAAACTTTTTGACTGATAGCTTGCATAAAATTTAATGATGAAATACTCAAGTTTATAACATATTAAATCGCTCCAATTTAAAAATGATGAAAAATTATTCATGATAATTAAGAGGACATTCCTAATTAATCCAAAATTGTTAAAGAAAAAATTTACAAAAATTTAAAGATTCAAAATTTAATGAAGTTCATAAAACTGATTAAAAATTCATGATGTGTAAAATATTGCATAAATGATGTACAAATATTATCAAGATATTATTGTAGTGGCCTAACGCCTATATATAAAAATGGGTCAACTCTTTTACATTTTTACATACATTTAAACTAGAGAAAAATGTTCTCTTAATTTCAATGATCACTTTTTGCATATATTGCTTTTCGTTTTTCTCTATCTTCTTTTGTGGCAGTTAATTCTATTCTGTAGTTCTCCTCTCTCCAGGTTTTTTTCGAATTTTCGAAACGGCGAAATGACAGGCGTATTCTTGATGTGTAAAAATTTCAAAACGTTTTTGAATGTTACACGCGAGATAGAAAACAAGGAGGAAAAATAAGAAAAAAGCGTGTAAAACGTAAAGCGTGTTCAACGTGTTGCCGATGGTGACGCATAAAAAAATGTGTGTGCATAGATATAATTACATTTCTTGTATATCGTAATTAGTGGTAAAAGGAAAAAGAAGAAACAGATATCGTGTGCGAGAATGTATCGAGAAAAAAAAATGATGAAAATATTCAATAAACTCAGTAGCTTCGTGGCAGCGATCCTCTATCGCTGCACGGCATAGAGAAATTCAGGTGGGAAAACCACGTTGAGAGGCGAATTTATTTATTTATTTGGAGATCAATCGTAAAATCTAATTTTAGGCGAGAACAGAGAGTGTAGAGGGTGAACTACGCGAGTAATTCTCCGCTAATCTGATTATATTTGAATTATCAGCATCATCAGAGCAAGTAACTTATATTTATTTCAGGAGAAAAACTACAAATACAGATAGTTTACGTGATGTTATACAGTTGTCTCGTAGGTTCTTTCGAATTAAATTGTAAAAAGGAAAGGAAAGGATAATTGTGTCGGCCGTAATATCCGCTGAATGCAACGCACTGTACTATCGTATTTGTGAACGACAGTGTAAGTATCATGTCGCACAGAGAGTTCGTACGTTACGGCTCGCAACGACCTGAATCTTTTTCCAAAAACCACCTTTTTCAATTTACTCGAAGAAAAGGAAGCGTTAACGTGATTTTATCCTGTACACTCTCCTCGTATTCGGGCCTCGCGCCGAATTTCACGAAAGAAAGAATTCTTTATCAGACTGTGATTGCCCCCTCGGCTGGTAGTGATCTCGATCCTAAGCGGCATTAGGTACCTTGCGTCATTACGTACAGCTTGACGCATAAATAAATACGCTGATTCTAATTCGAAACTCATCCCTTCGTTTGATCTTCGTCGCGATTATTTTATTCTACATCGCATTACATGCGGGCATGTATCACGCGAATGGGGAAAAAAGAAATAAAGAAAAGAGAGAGAAAGGGAGACGAAGGGAGAGGCTACGTCGTCTATGTAGGTTCAAATGATTTGATGACAAATCACTGCGTGCGAGATGTGTGTGATGCGTGCGATGCGTATGTGTGATGCGCGGAGAGTGTCGAACATCGTGATCGATCTACAAACACAAATGCATGCGTGCGTATGTGTATTGCGCTCTCGAGAGAGATACGTCGGAGGTACGTCCCCGTCGCTCCCGTTGGCAAATTGCGTTGACATTCAGCGAGAGAGAACGAAGGTGAGAAAAACCCACCCGCTTCATTGTCGCCGCAATTCGAGCGTATATCACGTGCGTTTCCCATTCACTTTCCAGCCGCAGCCCGTGGCAGGGAGAGGGGAAAACCTCGAAATAACAATGATTGATAACGTCCAAATTACAATTGCACTTTATACACGATCACTCGCTCTCTCTCTCTCTCCCCCCTCCCCTCTCTCGAGTCCTCGATAATACTTTTTGACTTCTCTCGAGACGGAATATCGTATCATTTTTCAGAGGCAATGTTCGTGTAGATATTACTTATTGTAATACCGTAGACGTGTGTATGTACTAATTTATAAAATTGCTAGGAAGGATTTAGGCCACGTTGCATCGAGAATCGTTGATCGAGCGTTGATCTCCTGGATTTGTAGCAATTTGTGATTATTCTCTCTTCTTAGAGTTTTAGTTGGGTATATACATGAGGATCAGGAATGCCGAATTGACGCTGCATTGGTGCAACCGGGCCTAAACGTATGGGAGATTAACGATTAACAGGCGGAGGCACTTGGCCGCCGAATTTATTTATAATTTTCAATGATTCTATTTTCTTTTTCTGTGTATAGCGAGTTACAATTTACCTGTGTATTTACCTGAGTAGAATTAAGAACAATTAACCGGTACTTCTTCACGCAGAGGTATTCTTCTATTAAAAGAAAAAAAGAAAAAAAAAAAGAGAAATACAACTGGCCGAATACATCATTTATCGCGATACTTCAAATGTATCGCAATGAACCTTTTGGATACCGTTACAGTTTCGAATTTGTATGTACAGTGGCGATTAGAATGATACTCCGTATTCATCGATATAGATTTACCATGAGACAATCTATTTATAGAATCCTAACGATAGACAAATAACGAGAAATACGAATTATGAAAAATTAATCGTCGGTCTTAACCTAAGATCAAAGAAATCGTGAATGGGAGTCGTTTGGGATACGATTAATTCGTTTTTATTTTTTTATATTGTAAGTTATCTGTTTACATATCAAGTGCAAGAATCAAGGTAAAACAGTCGAGTTATTTAGTTATTGAAAATTCCCAAAGTTTTACAATTGACGCTCTTTACATCGATTAATAAATTTCTCGAATTATCAATGTTTAACACATTTATTATTAAGCATATGTATTATCTGAATTGCATTTGTTCGATCTTTCAAGATCGTAAATCGTATCAGAGAGTGCAATATTGAATGGTGAAACGTTACAAGATTTATGAATTAGACGATTTATGAATTAGACGAAAAAGTCTTGTATCGAATGAATTCTTTTCTGTGTTTTCGAACGTCGAGTATTTATTTTCTGTTGAATCTTTCTCGAGACCGACGATATGAATTTTCCGCCACTGTACGTCCCATGGCGTGACGAAGAAGGCAATAATCGCGGAAAGATTCGAGCGTGTCGCGCAGCGCGACTGCCTTCGCCGATATGTAAATGTAACACCATTACGGCAGCCGATAGATTGATCATCGATTTTACTTTCATATTTATTCGTATGACTTAGGACGCGGAGACTCTATCTCTCTCCGATAAGCTTTAGCTTGTAGATACGTTTAGCGTGCTTGATGTAAAGAATTTTGTCAGTCTCGTTCGTTGGCCCTTTATCTCATTCTCGTAAATGATTCTGACAGTAGGCCGCCCGGAAGTGGCTGGTGAGTGTAAAAATGTGTACGATGTTCGCTTGTGTGATGTTACAATGCCAAAGTCCGGACTGTTACATATTTTAATTTACTCGGTGTAAGTCTACGGTCGATCGACTTGTTACCCCTTTGGGTGTGCAATGAGAAAAGATTGCGCTCGGATAAGCGAAAAATCGGGAATGATAAGTATTAATGTTAAAAGAAGGATAATAATAAGGATAGCAAAGGATAATGAGGATTCTTGCTTGACGCGAGGCAAAGAATAAGAATCTATCATGTTAAATATATATTGATTCTGATTTTTGACTTTGACTAATCTGAGCAATATTTTCTCGATGCACAACAACGGTGCTCAGTATTATTTTCTTTATTATGAATTGCGCTGTGCAATTTTTAGCCGCGCTCTTATTTATTTGTCGATGAATGAGGACTGACTCCTGTGCGAACTGCAAAAGCAATTTTAAATGTATCCATTGTCGCACGTGTAATACATATCGCGTTTTGTGAAAAAGAGTGTCGCTGGTCGAGACACAGAGAAATATCAAATTAGCCGAATTAGACGATTGGTAGTTTTTTTTTTAAACAAATTTTTTTGTTTTAATTTCACCTGTCGATAAACGATAAAAATAAAAATCTAATTCAAGAAATCTTTTTGAGCTTTTGTCGCTGTCTTTCGTCGACTCGCGGCACTCTTTTTCCCAAGAGATAAAAGCGGATTCTACGCGAATGATGTTCTTGAAATATTTGTGAAGTAGTTACTTGTCTACTAAACATAGGGAATACTCTCAGGAACGCACTCTCGGTGTTAATATAAAATTGGGAAATATCAAATTTACTCGAGAGTTCCCCAATTAGCCAGCAGCTAAGACGTATTAAAAATCGACGGCATTACTTTTTCCCATTTGGATTTGGAGCGTTTAAGCTGCATGTGTCGCTCGATATGATCTCAATTAATTAACTATCGAGGGAGAATCGTCCACGAGAACGAGAAAAAAGGAAGCGAACGGGAAGCGCGATGCCGTTCTCTTCTACAGTATAAAAATCGACTGTGGCGGAAACACGCCGGAATGTATTGTAAAATGCACTAACGACTTTAATGATTGTAATGACAAATGTACAAAAACAAAAAACAGACAAAAAACAAAACGAAATTATGTCCGACACGCGCGAGACGTTAGCGAGATGTTAGCTCGCGGAAGAGACGCTTCACCACGAGCAGTTGCTAATGCATAAGAGAAAAAAAAAAAAAGAACAAAAACGATAAAACGAAAATAAAAGTATACAGTCATACCGCATACGCATGCTATTTTTCTTAAAAAGTTTCTCGTCCTCTTAATTGCGATTTACGTACGATATATGCATATGCTTGTGGATCTATATTTGCATCGTATACGTTTAGCATTGAACAACTTTTTAAAAATATTTTGAGAATTCTTGGAGCACTCCAGCGCAGAATGTAATCATACATGTATAATTAAATTGAATATATAATTAGATAAATTTTATAAAATTATTAAACAAGATATGACATAAAAATATTTTATTGCACAATATTTAATTGCATTCAGTTGAAATTATGTGTTGTTGTACAAATATTTTACACAATATTTGCAATGGGAAACTCCAAGTTGTCGATTTAGACCCTTACCAGATGCACTTATATATTAAGACGTTTTTGCTTTTGATCGTCATATTGATTAATTCGTCGCTAACGTGTTCAACGCTAACTACATACATGTGAATACAGATCAGGGAGTCTTTTCTTGGCTCGAATAAAGGGTCTATTGATACATATATGTCATCGGTCTCAAGGAGAAATTTGCCAACTGAATCATCCAGTAGCTGACAAAATAAAGAGACTTGAAAACTTGTGTACAAATAAACATTCGGTTTTTTGAATCTTGATTTAATTATTTATTTTTTCCTTTTCCTTTATTTCGGTTTTCATCAATTTCAAGTAAACTTCTGATATATATCTCGCAAGATTGGATTCGTGGAGAGACACTAAATAGACAATTCGTCATTATTTTTTTTAAGCTTAAGAACTTTATCCTTAAGGCCAATGACGTAAATTGATAACTAGCTGATAAGCTATAAGTCTCTTCGTGCAGCGCAGCATGATTTTTTTCTTAAAAGCGCGACGAGACGAGTTTCTGTGCACGAGGAAGCCGCTCCTCACCGAGCCGTAAATGACCTGGTCTGTGTTTTTTTCAGGTGGTAGCCAGTCGGTGGCCAGTTACGAGGACCTGAGCTCCAGCAGTTTCAGCTCCGCTAGCAGGGCATCCCTGGACGCGAGAAGTTCACCGACGCCGTCGTACGGTGCTGAGAACATGATGGTGTTCCCCGGTGATAGTAGCGGCTCCATTTGAGATTATTTGAGATGCGCAGCCATGCTGCCCAAGTGGCTGCGCTGCCTCAGGTAAAGAGAGAGCGGTACAAGGAAGAAGAGGAAGGAGAAAAGGTAGAAGAAGAGAAAGAAGAGGAGTTCTCTGCGGAAGAGGAGAGTCCTTGCTTCGAAGGGGAGAGGCCGCTCCGTTGCGCCTCTACGATCACTCTGTCTTTCCAAAAGACCGTCGACCACACAAAACTCTGTTTTTTCTAAAGTTCCGCTGACACGCGAGATACATCACGTAGTGAGACGGACGAGAGGCGCGAAGTGCGTCAGCGGAATGGATAAATAAAATGAGGACAATTGCGCGCATATGTGCGTGTATGTATGTATGTGTGTGCATGTATGTATACGTATGCACGTATGGATGTTTAAAATGAGAGATGAAGGAAAGTGTTAAGTCGAAGGAAAAAGAGTAGATGTTAAGGGGAAGGTGAGAACCATGCAAGCGAACTTTGGCCGCGACTTTGCTACGGGGCGCGTGCGTATGCACAGAATGCGTTTTCCTTGCCGTGAGAGTCGCGCGCGTTATTGCCATTATCTTATTTCCTCTTGTTATTGCCTCTTCGCCTACTCCGTTCGCTTACTCCTGCGCGCGATCACGCGGGGGTACGATGCTCTCCTCTACGTAAAACCCTTCGCAAGAGGCACGTAGAAAGCTAGTGTCGTCCGCGTATATCCGCGCGTTCTACAAAGATGTAAGGGAAGAAAGGGGAAAAAAAAAAAAACAAAGTCCGCGCTTCGCGAGAGCCGCGACAATATTTCGTTTCTCGACCTCTCGGTCGCGCTACACTGATATCTAAGAGACTATTTTACGGTAAAGTTATGCTGATTATTAATCCCTATATATTTTTGTACTTTTTGGTATATCTCTCCCCGTGGACGCACGCACGCACGCACGAGGTATATCGTACCCTTGCCCCCCTGTCCCCCGAATCTGCAATCTGCATTTGTGATAATTGCATTTTGTACACTCTCTCCTCGTGCAATTCGTCGGTATCCAATGCTCGCGATTTGTTGTTCGAATACACGAATATTTTCGTGATTTTCGTGAATGTAGTTTCTTCCCGCTCTACTCGCGTTCTCTCGTTGGCATGTCGATCGATTCGGATCATTCTCAAATGATTTGTTTATATATATATATATATATATATATATATATATATATATATATATATATGGATGCAATAAGTGATAACACGGTATCTTATCAAATTGATTACAAATTTCACATTGCTATAAAAAAGAAAACTAGATTGGTAATAATCATCGATTTCTCTTCAATCCTGATGAGAATCGAGATCAATGAGTTTCAATTGGATTCATTAAACACATCATTTGTTAATCACATAAATATGATGTAAATAACAAAGTAAATATTTTTATTATATGTTTGCACGGCAAAGGCGCATCGTTTGAGGGTGGTTTAACGCGGCACGAGGGAGATCGCCACGCCGAAAACCAGGGAAACCACCAAGTTTCATCGAGTTCATTTCTGCTCCAGCGCTCGTTCGTGAGCAACCAATCTGTCTTTCGCGCGGTTCCAGATCGAACGGAGGATTCTTGAGGTTTTTAAAATATCAGCAACTGGATGAGATGTGACCGAGGTTTAGCTAATACTAGGTATAGAAAATCCTCGAAAGGACATCGCGAGAAACATAAAGTGTACGATGTAGCGCGCCAGAGTATACCACAAAAACTTGGCAATTTATATATAAATAGATGTTGTTTCTCTCTCTTTTTCAACAATTATACAGACCCAAAACAAAAACGTAATCTCGAGCAGCAGATTTTCTGAAACCTCCCCGGACGCCGGCGGTCTGCCCAGTTTTCGTGGAATACCCAGCGATTCTTCTTTTTTCTAAGTGATATATCTAAAATAATGATTAGCGAATAGCGCGCGCGATCGGTGCCATCTGGACTCGAAGAGGCGGGAGGTAGCATAGATTAATTGTTAAATATTTGCGTGCGAGACTTTTATAGTATGATCTCCGTTGTGCGTACGCGTAAGCGACGAGTAGTTTTTATATAGTTGAGCAACAAGGACACGGCGTATGTGTTAAACAGAAAAGTGTAATAGCTGCTTGGTAGAGACGTTCTCATCGTATTTTCGAAGCAGATTTCAATAGTCTCGCTTTGCTCAATCCTCTCCCTCTCTACCTTCAATTTTCTACCTTTTACCTTTTCTATCTATATCCTTTATCTTCACTTTTCACCTCTTTTCCGCCGCAACGCCGAAATGTATCGAGCTATATGAAAGTAACGTGTGAAAAAAAAAAACTTGTAAGCGTAACAGGTACTCGACCAGGCGTTATTATCGCGTCTGCTTTTAAGGAAGCGAGTCAACTCTCTTCAAAGGGAGATTAGTAAGCGTTTTAGAAGATATATTTAGGATGTATGTCAGAGAACGTAGGCAAGACCTTAATCTCGTACTTTCGATGATAAAGAGTTTTAGTACGCGGATTTATCGTGCCGACGTATATATGCACGCGTGTCTGTGTCACCAGCACACCGAGCTAGGAAACAGTGTTCTAATTCCTGGATGCATAAACATTTTAATGCGAGAAGTAATATTGATTTTCTTCGTATCGAGTATCATCGAAGAAGACGGTTAAAAATTTCAAAAAAAAAAAATCTTTGGGAAAGGGAAGAGACTTAATTGAGGAAATACTGAGTAAAGAAAGTAAATGAGATCTCGAAGTAAAGTCGAGATCTTTATGCGTCCAAGAATTGAATCGCGTTCTCATTGCTGCACCGAATCAAATACGCGGCGCGTGGCATTACACGTATATTTTTCTACCTCTTATTTTTCCGATAGAGCCACTGAGAAAATTAGGCAGGACGAGTCCGCAGGCTCCGATGCGCGATGCGAGATAGCACAGAATCGTAGATAATAACAATTACTGTAACGATAACTTATAGATATATGTATAGAATGATTATATCCCCTGGATATCCCCACGCTCTCGAGAGACGATTAGGGATCCTCGATGTATCGGGAAATCTCTCGCATCCTGATTCTCGCTTTATACTTACACGGAGGTTTTTAGTCAACAGACAAATCAATTTTATATCACTGTTGTTTGTGACACGAGGTGCACGGATTTCGGAAGAAAAAGCGATGCGGATGCAGATATCTCCCAGTGCGAAACTGAATTTGCAAAAGAACAAGATATCTCGTCGTTTTTCCATTTTTTAAATTTGATACGGTAATACAGTTTGTAGGATGACTTATCGTCGCTTGGCGAAATCGAAATTTATAGCTTGCAAAGTGAGTATCTTATCTTAAGATAGAATAGCTCCTCACGGTGTCTTTCGAAAGAGAAGAACAGGAGGTTGTTCAATACAAAAAAAAAAAAAAACCCAACGCTGCAAAATTTGCGTAATCGGATCTCGAGAGTCGATCTTTCACCCTCGATGTTAACGAAACGAGATGTGCCGCGAATCGTTTTATTCACCATCTGCAATACGAAGGAACATTTCGCGATTGATCAGATTTGTTAAAAAAAAATAGCACATCCTCGGTTCGTGAATTATCTGTTGCTGTATACACGAAATTTCTCTGATTCTGCTATTATTTTTATTTTTACGATTGTGATTTTGTGGCCAAGTATATACCGTTTCTCGCATCTCTTAGAACGAACTATGAGTGCATAAACGTTAGAAGAAATCAATAGAACAGGAAAATTCCGTCGTGTACATGTCGCAGTTGATTTCAACTGCGTTTATTATTAATTCATCATTGCACGACGAGAACAGCATCCAGCGAGACATTAGGTGCCTTTAGTTATATCTTTCAATCAACAGTGTAATACAAAAACGGGAAACGCAGAGTGCTTAATAAATGTAGATTATATATTTTAAGAACCAATTTGTTCTTAAAATATAGAAAACGGTAAATTGAAAAATATTCGAATCCGAAATCTCTGATGGAATAAAAATTATATTTTTTTCCGTGAAATTGTTGAGAAGCTATTATATAGAATTATATAATATTGATAATTGAAGCACGATGAAGTGCTGAGAACCAAGTTTTCTTCGGTAACTTTTAAATGGAATTTACAACAACAATTTAATTACTATTACATAGAGATTCTTTTTAATTAATAGAAATTGGAATATATTACATTGGGCATTCTACACGTATTTGATAAGAAATTAATTTTTATTAGATGATATTATAGAAGTTTAATTATTATTAAAACTCTGTTTTTTCTAACTTTGTAAGGCTTTATTGATAAAATAGTTTTAATATTGAAAATTTTTGAGGACACAAATGGTCGTGTTGTTGAATTTTTCAAGTGCAAAGGTTGCTTGCAATTCCGTCGAAGGATCCACAGTAATTGTGAAACATTTTCGAGAATTGCTAATGCAAAACTATCAGTGTGATCGAATAATCACAGGCTTGGTACTTGGATATAAAAAATAAAACTTCTTCCTGTGATTTCTTCAAATTGAAGATATTTTCCGGTTGGAACGGTAGTTGAGATCGTTCATGAAAAAAGGGACGCATTTTAATGGCTCATGATGAAAATAATCATTAACTTCAAAAACCTTACTCTTCTATTATTTTCGATAAATAAATATTTTTTCAAAAGATTACTCTGATTACTATGATGTGTCCTTTTTGCTGGACGGTCTCAATTTCGATCTCACGGAGATATCTGTAGCAAAGATCAGAATCTGTGGAAAAGAAGGCGAAACAGCGTTTGTAACAATCGAATCTCTGAGATTTTAAAATGCGAAAGTACCATCGCATTCGTCGGGATACGCCACGAGGAATGCAACTTTCTCCCCGCGAAACGACATCGCTGCGTCGACTGAATTTTATCATTTGTACTCTTGCGTACCTTTCGACCGCGCTACCCTTCGATACGATTTATAGTGAGAGAGAGAGAGAGAGAGAGAGAGAGAGAGAGAGACGGCGCGAGAGAGAGAGAGAGAGAGAGAGGCCGCGAAGACATTCCACGAGACTTCAACTTTTATCGGTACAGCATCAAATCATTGGCGCAAACGACCTCTTAACTCCCCCGATCTAAGCCGCCACGCAGTTAAACGGATATAAGTAAATAAGACAAGGAGATATGAATATACATATATATATATACATATATATGTACGTATATAAAAATAGTGTAGATCGCTAATTGTATAATACTTCTGCCGACGTAGACGCGGAGCACCTTTGTATCGTGAATTTTTTGTCCTCTGTCGCGCGACGCGTTTGTAAATTGTAAATCTTCGTCGAGGGAAGATGACGATCGTGAGAGCGAAGTGCTGTGATTGTGAGCCGCTGGCAAGGAAATCGGCGTCTGAGGAACGACGATTGCTGTGCCACGATCAGCGTACTGGCTGACGGTGATGATGACGATGATACTCTTTGTAAGTTACGATACATTCGCAATATAGCAACGGCGATTTCCGATAACCGACAACAATTCTTTACGATTAATTTAATTTCACGAGTTTCACGAGGATCAGGGGACTGCTCGAGCTTCGGAATGTAAATAGATAATGAAACGTCCCTTTTCAGATTAATTCCGGTGATTTCGAAGCGTCTAGAGCATCTTGTTTTCTGGACGGTCCTTCAAGTCTCTCTCTGGTTCGCTTATAAAAATAACACGCGGGCTGAGAAGATCAGGAAGGACCGGGGAAATCGCCGCTGCGTAGCGACGCGCCACGTGTGCATGGAAGAGAAAAGAAAGAAAGAAAGAAAGAAAGCCAGATTGTGATGACCGATTTTTCGACGAGGTCTCGCGGTGGCGTCGATGCAACGAACACGGAATAGGAATCGCATGACGACGAACGCGAAAAGAAGAGACAGAGGCAAAGAAGGAAACACGAATGCCTGTGCATTTAAAATTCTCAAGACGGAGAGGGAAAAATGAGATAGTTTAGATTTCCTACTGAAAATACATAATCGCCAAAGGGTTCCACGTGTCAATTCAGCTCAACAAGTTCGAGAACCCGAGAAAAACCAATTTATTTCTCCATCAGGAAAGTTATCTTTTCTCTCAACCTCTCGACACCGATTTCCTTAGGTTCTTATTAAACAGGCAAGTTTGATTTGTGTTTTCTTTCGGCATTATTTCTTCGTTAAGAAGATTCGATTTTTGTTGGACGAGAAAATAGAGAATGAGGATTGACTTCCATCTAGTAAAAGAGATGTTCGCATTTATGACACCGCGTCACTTCGGCCTACGTATAACGGTTTTTCATATATTTTACTATATTACGTACTTTGTCAGGGCTGAAAGACACAGCTAACTAATAAATACACACACACACACACACACACACACACACACACACACAAAAGAGAAGTGAAAAAAAATACGAAAAAAGAAATATGTATATCTTATACATATATACATGAATAGCGTGTAAGCGTAATACTTTATGTCACATGCATACAATCGTGTTGACGGAGCATAGTGATTCTTAAATAAGAGCCGGCCTCGGGATCCTGTCGGCCGTCGTGGCCTCCTGTTCACAGGTTTAACGGTGATCCCGGCGTCGCGCTTGCCGCGAAAGGTGTTTTGTAATTGTGATGGGGCGGATGGATTCTTTAGAAGAAAAAAAAAAAAAAAACAAAAGCAAATAAAAGATTTTTAATGACTGCAACGAAGACGGGAGTCACGACAGTGCAGTTATTTTCGCCTTATTTCCTTTCTGTAATTACATGATTATCCTTTCAAAGTGAAATTAGACTTGAGAATCATGATTGTTGTACAAGCGAGGATTATCATCTTTGTAATATATTTTGTTCAATTTAATTCTTTTGTATCGCTGTACTTGATGAAATTTGTATTTTCACCAAGATTGTTTTAGAATGAAAATATAATATTCGAAATATTTCAATAAATATTACAAATAAGACAATAAATTATACAACAAATTGCAATTTATTTTGATGATATATTAAAACGCGCGATAGAAATAACGAATTAATCACTTGTTTACTTAATGTTCTAATAAACCGCACCGTTATAATATAAATTACAAAAATTTGTAATATTCACAGCGTGAGACAAACGAGAATGGGAAATATAGAGGTGTAACCAGTACATGATGGACTTGATAGTAATCAGAAGAAAAGATTTATTTGCTAATCATTTGTATTTCACAGTATCATGAATAAGAAGAAGTTACAAGAGGTTCAAGAAGCCCAAAGGAGTTCAATCACAGAGAACTATAATTCGGTCGATATTGTGAATTAACTAGAGACAGTTACATAAAACACTGTAATAACACGGAAATAAAATGCTTCGTCGATTTTTCATCGAGCTCAAAAATGCCATGATTGGAACGCCAAAATAAAACGCAGTTTCTACTCTCGTGCTTGTACTTGTACGTATCTTCCTTCCTCTATTCGAATTATAGACAATTCATAATTAAAATATCACAATTTTCACTTCCGTTTACTCGTCTAACGTGAACACTTTGGCACTTCCATTCTTTATTACTTTCCGACTTGAATACAACCTTACAGGTGCAGCCGAATTTTATCTTTCTCTTTTTTTTTTTTTACATATATCTACATGATGTAATAAAGCATAAATCGCTCCTTTGATTCTTATTCGCATTCCGATGAATGTGAATACAGTTTTCTCATACCAAAAAATTTGATAAAAAGCCGATTGCTTGTCCGTCAGTCTTGCCAGCTTCCGATTAAAATCGATTCTTCAAAATTTTAACAAAATTTTTTCCACAAAATTGAATAAAAAAATTTTTTTACCAACTTTACACCTATGTCCTATCGGAAAGTATTACGGCCAGCGTAAAAAAAATTCAATTTAAATTAGTAAATAAAAAAATCAATTTGACGAAGATACATAATATTGTTGCTCTGCATATATATATATATATATATATATATATATATATATATATATACACACACACATA